AAGTTGGTCATATTTGTTAATAAAGTTAGCTAAATCTTTAAATATTTCCGTTGTTAGACTCTTCTTTCTTAAGGCTTCTTTTTGTATTCATTTATTTATCTTTTTTTTTTCTTATTAGTGTTGGCGAGTCATGCCACCCTTCTGCAGGGGCGGAGGTAACCTACCGACATGGATCATTTTGAACCCATAACTTTCGATATGGAGTATAAATATGTATGTAAAGACCTATTAAAATTTCAACAAATCTTATAATTGAACTCATAATTTTAATAATACAATGATTTTAATGCTAAAAATTATAAACCATGAATTCATTAAATTTAAGTCTTGGATCCGCTTATGCCTTTCTACAACTCCACACCAGACTTTTTTCTTAATTAAGATATTATTCATTCTATACGAAAACACTTTTAATAATTAAGTAGGATATAGCTTTCTTGAGCTGTGAATTGTCCATGCAGAGTTCGGGGAAAGGCCATACTTCAATGGAGTGCGATGTAGGTACACTACTAGAAATCCGGTAATTAGCGACCAAAAAAACTGACCAACTTTGGTCGGTTATGGCCAATTACCGACCAAAATGCAAACAAATACGCTTGGACGGTATTTTGGTGGTCGCTTTAGTATACCGACCAAAGTTGGTCGGAAATTACCGACCAACGTTGGTCGGTAAATTAAATTCAAAAAAAAATATTGCAAAAGTTGGTCGGTATTTTAATTATATAATCAAAAGATTCACCGTCTCGGTATCGAACCGGGGTGTGTACTGTGGCAGGATACTATTCTACCACTAGACCATTGGTGCATTTTGTTTTAAGATTTTTTTTATACTCTTTAATTGTATTTTCGCATGAAAATAACCGACCAAAGTTGGTCGGTTTTTTTAATATTAATTTATTTATTTTAATTGCAAAAACCGACCAAAGTTGGTCGGTTTCTTAAAAAATAAATTTCGCGGGACTCAAAAATAGTTTCCCGCATTTTTGCGCCAAAGAAAATCGACCAAAGTTGGTCGGTTTCGTAAAAAAAAAAATTAAAAATTAAAATATTTTGAAAAACCGACCAACTTTGGTCGGTTTTTGGCCGGTTTTTTTACAGACCAAAGTTGGTCGGTTTTTCTTGGTCGGTTTTTGCCGAATTTCTAGTAGTGGCGTAGCCTACATTGATACAAACACCAATAATTAATTTTACGGCTCCATCCCATGACCTATAGATATTATGACAAAGAACAATGACGACTTCTTGTTCTTGGGTTTTTCTGCACTTGACTTGTAACTCATGAGTTTTGACTTTCTATGGTAAAGAAGAATGACTTCTTGACCCCTTAATTAACTGAATAATGCATAGTTTGTGGTCTGAATGAAGCCGTAAGAGAAAATCCATCTGTGCGTGCAGCAACTATGAAGAGACCAACGAATTACATTTGAATAACATGAATTACAAAAAAATACATATGACTTCACACCGTAATAAAAAATGGTCCATATTTTTAAGTTTTATCCCACCTAGTCCACATTGTACATATTTTGAAAGCACTTGCAAATTCAAAATCTGTGTTTTTACAACCATTGTTTCTAAAAGCTATGGAGTTAATTCTTTGTTCTCACAACTATTGCTTTCACTCTCTCTTCTTCTCACGTCTTCTACATATGCTTCAAAGGGTCATGTATTTTCTGCTTCTCCTCTTGTGTCACCTGCTTGCAATGAAAGAAAATTGAAGAGTAGAAGTTCACCATTGAAGACCATTCAAAGCTTTGCTTTTGAAAATGAGTTTTTTGAATTTGTTAGTTGTTTGGATTGGGTATTGTTCCAATTGATTGAAAATATCAAAAGGAGTTCAAAATTTAAATTTGAAGTTATTTGGAGTAGATTTGAGCAAGATTTGAGTTAAATTTCAGAAAAGACGCAAGGAAGAAGACGAAGTCAGTTTTTTGTATAATTATGTATAATCTTGTATAATGTTGTATATGAGTGTAGAAACACACCTTATACACTTTTATACACATTTATACAAGCGTCTGTAGACGAACTTCTTCCACGATTTTCAGTTGCAATTCTTGCTCAAAACCAGTCCAAATCTCCATTAAATGACTTCAAAGTTTATATACAACCTCCTTATACTATTTCTAACAAGTCTAAATAACACCCAATCCAAATTTCTCACAAAATCAAATTCGGAATTTAAATCCACATATTTAAGCTTGTTAAAAATCTAATTTTCACCACCCAAATGAATTTGGTTTATTGAATTAATATTTGAGTCACAATTACTGATTCGAAAATTAATTTAAAAGCTTGCGGAATCTTTTTTAAAAATTAAAAAGTGATTTTGAGAACCTATTGGAGTTGGATGTTGAATCTTAGCCTAATATTTATGGGCTAGTTGGTTGTAAATTGAAATATGAGCTATAAAATTGAAAAGTATGGAGCCTAGTTGTTCTAATGTGAAATTTTCCCTTTATAATGACACATGAAATAGTCGAAAAAACATTAATTCATGCATTTGCTGCTTTTTTTTTTTCAAGAGTCAATTTATACAACTCTTAATTTAAAAATCTAAATCATTTCGAGTAGAAACTATTTCAACTTTTAATTATTTCTCCTTTTGTTTCCGAACCCTAATTCATCCATCAGAATAAGCGTGTGTTGTTGGTTTTTTTTTAAAAAAAATAAAATATAAATACTTGAACACCAAAAAGAGTAAGAATAAATTTTGAAAAATTAGCTTTTAAAAAATAATATGGTAAGAACTAAGAAGTTGTGTTTTCACACTTATTTTGCTGAGAAAGCCAATTGCATATTTATATATCAATATAGGATAATTGCGATACTTTGGTCCTCAATTAAATGATTTTGGTTCAAATTAAACTCTGAAATAAAGTACCTCTTAGAAGGTAAGCGCTTTACTTTTTAGATAGATTATTATACGATGTGTATCAAAATTAGTCCGATCAACGAGTTATAATACTAAATACTTTATTGAAAAAGAAAGAAAATGAAGTAACTTTAAAAAGAAATGGGCAATGGCACCTTATTTGAAAAGTTATGCAAAGACAGAGTAATCAAGTGCACATATCAGGTTGGCATGCAACAACATTACTTACGTTACATTTTGCCTAAGCAAAAGAAGGAAAAGAGAACTAGCAATAAAAATATTGTTGTAGTTTCCATATATAATGTTAATTACATTGTGTTCTGGTAAAGGTGGTTATATATTATGTAAGTAATGGTGACCACATCCATGTGGAGGAAAGTGTACAAGTTAGTTGGAGTTGGGTAATAACAGCTCAAGATAATATAACCAAAAAAAAAAAAAAAAAAAAAATGAAAGAGTCTTGTGTAGTCTGGACCATTGTTCATGTGATATGTAAGGAGTTCGGTTGGATTTTGGGTCGCTTTGGGAATAGACTCGCCTTTGATAGAGAGCGCTTATGATAGAGAGCGCTTATGTTAAATCTCTGAATTGAAACCAATGTCAAATGAGTATTGCGACTGTAAGCTGAGAGGAGAGCAAACTTATTAGAGAAAACGAAAAAAGGATTTCATACAGCTTAAAGAGCAAGCTACTCGATTACAGGATCATCTGTATATATGTTATTCCCTCCGGTCCAAAATAAGTAATTTTTTGGCCTATTTTTTGTGGTCCAAAATAAGTGATTTTTTCAGATTTCAAGAATGAATTAATTATTTTTTTCCTACATTGCCCCTGAAGTAAATAATGTTGAAGTATGTGTTAGGAGTTTTTATGTGAAGAGATAGTAAAGGTTAATATGGTCAATTTCATTGCTAATTAATGTTAAAAGGTGAATTTCTTAATATGTGTGAAAATAACCAAAAAATCATTTATTTTGGACCGGAGGGAGTACTTTCTAACTTCTAACTAATATAGAGTACACATTAATAACAAACTAGCTCTAGTTACAACTTAACTAGATTACTAGAAAGGTTAACTTAATAAGTAACAAACTAGCTCTAGTTACAACTTAACTAGATTACTAGAAAGGTTAACTTAATACAAGGGAGGTAAGTTCGTGTTGAGTAATATAATATTAGGTATGAGACCTCCCGATACTAATTCGAATTAATTAGACCTCAAAATAGATTTCGAACGTCAAATGAAAAAGAAATTAGCTAATTACTAAAGAAAATGAGTTGACACAAGCTTTGAGATTTGGCTAAGACAATAAAATCAGTAAAGTGATGAAATTCTTATCCAATGCTTCTTTTATGAATGGTTTACCTTGTTGGTGGTTGGAACATTTCCCTTATTTTTTTTTTTTTTTTAGCTTTTCTAATAGAATCACAAAGATTTTCTTATGAAAGAAATATCTTTAATAATCATTCATCCAATCGTTTAAACTAAAAATAACATGCAAATATATAATTATAATTTATGCTATGTATAATTAGTGTTTATCTATATATACGGTCTAGGAAAGTATAATGAATCACATAAAGATTTATTTTTTTTACCCGAAATTCGGTATCTGCTTTGGCCTGATTGTTCGAATTTCGCATCGTGTATGTCCCATTAAAGGGAGAAATACTCTCTATCAGATTTTTTTTTAATTCTTAAAGCTCGAACCCAAAACCTATAATTAAGAGTGAAACAACTTATCAATATTCAATACCACCGCAATCTTTGATGGCGTAAAATTACATATTTTTCCTTAAACATCACTGTTAGGGCTCGTTTGATACGAGAGATAAAGGATAATTAATTTCTAAATTAAATTTGCGATGACTTTCACATTTAGTTGTGATAAATTGCGGTATAACTAATCCAGAAATTAGTTATCCTGGGATTATAGTATTATTTTTATCCCTATAGAAAGGTGGGATAAAAATCGGGAAACTAATTACGAAATAATTAATCCTAAGAACCAAACGGCCCCTTAGTATTCTAACTATTTATACTTTTCACCCTCTTTTGTGGGTCACACAAGAAAAAATTTAAAAAAATATAGAAATGTGCTGTCATAATAACTTTAAACAATAAAGCCAGTCCCTTTTTTATTTGTACATAACCACAACCCTGCAACAGTAGAGAGAAAAAACGGTCCATTACCATTCCAATCATAACCAAAGCAAAAAGAAAAAGATAGTGGAGACCCAAAACAGAGAAAAAGAAAGAATTGAAGAAACCAGAAGAGTAAAATTTTGTTAAAGAAAAAAAAAATGCAGAATCAACAACAACAACAGCTACAAACACTGATGCAATCAACAAGTCAAATTTCAGGGAATTTGAGTTTTAATGGGACATTAACAAAGGAAGATGAAGAAATGTCTAAATCTGCACTTTCAACTTTCAAAGCTAAAGAAGAAGAAATTGAGAAAAAGAAACTTGAAGTTAGAGAGAAAGTTCAAGCTCAGTTAGGTCGTATTGAAGAAGAAACTCGCCGTTTGGCCATTATTCGCGAGGTTTGTTTTTTCCTCTTTTTATTTATTTATTTATTTATTTATTTTTGGCTACGCATTTAATTTTCTGATTATTAATTTTTTTTTCTTTTGTAGTATAAGGTTTTGATTTTTAGCCGAAAAACTTGAAATAACTTGAGATTTGTTTTTGAATTTTAGGAATTTTTGATATATTAAGGTGAAAATTAGAATATTAGGGCACAAAGGTATTGCTAGTTTAATTGAAAAATTTGTTGTGTTAATCTGTGAGGAAAAATGAGAAATTTAACTTAGCTTAAAGTTAGAATAAAACAGAAGGATTAATTATTTGGAACACAGATTTGTTGAATTTTGGGTTAAAAAAATCAATTTTAACATACATTTCTGTTCCCTTTTTTTCTCCCATTCCTTTTCTGGGATTTTCCTCTTTTTTTGAGCATTTATAGGGAAGAAGGAGATCCAAAAGAACTCTGATCTGTGTAATTTCTCCTTTTTAAATTATTGTTTTCAGCATATTTTTGTGTTTTTAACCTATAAAATACTAGTAGTACATAATTTGATAAATCTAGAAGGTTAAAATTGGTATAAAATTTGTATTAAATTTTGGAAAATTTCAACTGTTGGAAATGGCAGCTCTGATGAGTAATTAATAGGTGTGAGTTCGATTTCCATAATCCTTTTCCCTTGCCATTTCCAATAAGAAATCTATATTTTTAGACACTACAAAAAATAATAGCCTAACAAATGTATATTTTCTTGTATATATGTGTATATATGCATATAATATATATATATATATATATATTCTATATACTTTTTGGGTAGCGATTTCAATTAATTTCGGCCGATTGACCAATTTTGTATTTTGTCCTTTTCCAATCTCCCTATATAATCGAAAATAATTTTAATAGATTGAAAAAAGGGAAAAAATTAAGTTTTGTTCAAAGTTTCTATAATACATGTATATATATAACATTAAATTATAATTTAATTATCAGGAATTAGAAGCATTAGCAGATCCAATGAAGAAAGAAGTTTCAACGGTCAGAAAAAGGATTGATGCAGTCAACAAAGAGTTAAAACCTCTTGGACAAACTTGCCAGAAGAAGGTACAATATATATTTCCCACTTATTACTTTCTTGAATTTACACTCGCAATGTATTTTTGTCCTTTAATCTTTTTCCTTTTTGTGTTTCAAACTGTTCATTTTTTTATTAAACTGTTTAACTGTTCATTCTTTTGGGCATGGGGTCAGGTTGGCTGGGATTTTTGTAAATAATATATATCGTTATAAGGAAATCAATCACAGAAACCGAAAAACTGAACCACACCGAAATCGAATCAAACCGACAAGAAAAAACCCGGACAATTTTTTGGTTTGATTTGGTTTTGGTTTTGAATTTGAAAAACAACCAAATGTGGCTTGGTTTTGGTTTGAAGCAAAAAATAATCAAATGTTGAACCAAACCAACTATAAATACCTATTTAACTTATTATTACACACACACATATATATATATATATGTTTAAAAAAAATATATGATACATATTAATCATTAGACTCTTGGTTTGTAGGTGTTCTTTGCCTTTACGTTTTAGTTTGATTGGTAGCTCTTAAGTCCAACAATCTATATTTCATGTTAAAAATAACTTGTCTTTAATTGAGTCATTAAATTTTATATTACTACTGTTTAATTCAATTATTATCAAAATATCTCGGTAAATGACATATTTACTCAAAAATTAATTAGTTTGATATGTTGGAATATAATATTCGGAAAATGTATTTGGTAGTGTTGTGTCTTATATTCAAGAAATAAATCCAACAAAATCGAATTGATAAAAAACCGACTTAATTGGTCTGGTTATGATATTTAACTGCTGATGGGATTTAATACTTACTGATATATTATCTTGATGAATTATTTGACAATGGCCATTTCATTACGTGACTTCAGGAAAGAGAATACAAAGAAGCACTTGAGGCCTTCAATGAAAAACATAAGGAAAAAGTACAGCTTATATCAAGATTGATGGAGGTAAATATATATTTACTGCATTTATTGATTTTCCTGTTCCAAATAATTTTCTCTATGTGTATTTAAAACTCTTTTCTATGTGTCTAATCTGTGTATGTGTCTTTTTATTTTACGTATAGCTGGTGGGTGAAAGCGAGAAAATGAGGATGAAGAAGTTGGAAGAGCTGAGCAAGAGTATAGAAACAATTCAATGAAAAATTACCTCAAAAAAAGCTCAGTGACTAATTAGGTTTGTGTGATATAATTAAGATAATCGAAATTTCTATTTATATATTGGCTGTTTTTTGTGTTGGTTGGATGTATTCAATTTTTCTTGTTTTTCTTGTTTTTTCCTGTTTATTTTTAGCCTTTGAAGGATGATTGATCATCAGTTTCTAATTTTAGGTTTTGTAAACAAGTTTGTAACTAAAACAGGTCTCAAGCTGTGGATTCTTTTCTATTCTCTTTTTCACATGTGTCTTTTGAAATGTCTCTTGTTTTTAGTTGGTGAAATTGTATCCTGTGAAGAAAAGTTAACTTCCTTACCAAATCCCTTATAATTGTTAAATTTGTTTTGAAAACGCGTTCTCTTGAGTCTAGAGTCTATCGAAAACTATCTCTCTATACCTTACACAAGGTACAGATAAGTCTGCGCATATCCCATCCTTCTTAGATCCCATTTATAAGATCATACTAAGTTTGTTGTTACTATTTTATTGATAGACCTTCGTTCCATTTTCAATTTATTATCAAGTAGTTTGACTCGATACATAGTTAAAAGAAGAAACGATGACTTTTGAAGTTTGTGGTGTTTAATTGGTTGGCAAGTGTGTGTATCAGTTTCCGGGGATCAATTTCTTGCGTAATCGAGCTCTGATTCTTCTCGGGGCGGATTTACCTTGTTTTTATGGTGCACGTGAATTTATGATTTTTCTGTTAAATTAGGTATTTTATGTATAAATTTAGTAATATTAATCTAATATTATCTATTGATCCTTATGCTCCAAAAAGGGTTAAATGATACATCTGGTTAAATATTGAGTTATTTATCCAAAGTTAATATGGATTGATTTTGCTTGGTACTTTTTTCTCGCTTTTTCGGTGGTGCACCCATATTGTAGAAATTTTAGACTTGTCTGGTCATTCTTCCTTGTTGGCTTACCTAAGTGTATTTTTGTCTAGTTTTTTTTTATTGGCTTTTTATTTGTGGACATGAAAAGAAAATTTTTGTTTGACTATTGTGTTATTTAGTTTTGACTGGAGTATTGTAATGTAATTGTGGATTTCCAAATGATCTATTTATATAGAAAGTTCAACAAAGATTGGATTTTTAAATTGAGTGGTTGAGAGTATAGAAGAAGATATCTAAGACAGAAGTAGCCAACGGAAACTATCAACTTTCAACTAGAAATAAATTTGGTACCTTGATTTGAATGTTTGTGATGTCACTTGGATTAGGTAACGGTCGACTTTCGTAGTTTACAACTTCTGCAAGTTATTTATGTCAACTAGGATTATGTACTTCTAATTAAATTCTTTACTCATTTTAGTTTCACATTGAGGTGGGGATTATTTAATTCACGAGTTCCAAAAAAAATTGTTTCTTAAATTTCATATTTGATCAAATATATTAACTACAATAAAGCCGGACGAAAAAATAATTATAAACCCTGTCTGTGAAGGATAGGGTTACGCAGACGGTACTCTCACTTTTGACCAGGTGCGGATTTAGGGAGACAGAAAAAATTATAAACCCTATCTGGGAAGGATAGGGTTACGCAGACGTTACTCTTGCATTTTGAGCAGGTGCAGATTTAGGGGGGCGGAAGGGGTTTCACGCGAATCCTCTTCGCCGAAAAATTATACTGTATATATAAGGCAAAACCCGTTTTTTACCTCAATATATTATGTTTTGAATCCCCTTAACATAGCCCAAAAGCATAGCTTAGTGGTTAGAGGTTCAAGACCTTTGTGAGGTTACTGATTCAATTCCCACTAGCCACAATCTCTTTTAATATTTTTAACATACATGCTATTATGCAAAGGTACCAACAAAGACGGATTCAAGATTTTCATATGTATGAGTTCCAAAAATTTTATTTCTTAAATTCTTTGGGTTCATACCGGGTCGTTCTACTACATAAGCTATACAAATTGTTAGGAGGTTGGTGGAACTGTACAGAGAGAGGAAGAAGGATCCGCACATGGTGTTTATTGACCTAGAGAAAGCGTATGACAAGGTTCCTAGAGAAGTTCTCTGGAGATGCTTGGAGGCAAAAGGTATGTCGGTTCCCTACTTTATAGCGATTAAGAACATGTATGATGGGGCTAAGACTTTAGGACAGTAGGAGGCGACTTTGAGCATTTTCCGGTTGTAATGGGGTTACACTAAGGTTCAGCGCTCAGTCCGTTCTTATTTGTTTTGGTGATGGACGCGTTAACACACCATATTCAAGGGGAGGTGCCATGGTGCATGCTATTCGCTAATGACATAGTTCTGATTGATGAGTCGTGAGCCGGTGTTAACGAGAGGCTGGAGGTTTGGAGATTGGTTCTTGAGTCTAAGGGTTTCAGGCTGAGCAGGACGAAGACGGAATACCTGGAGTGTAAGTTCAGCGCTAAGCCGGGGGAAGTGGGCGCGGATGTGAGGCTTGCATCATAGGTCATCCCAAGTAGAGGCAGCTTCAAGTACCTTGGTTCGGTTATCCAGAGGGGATAGGAGAACGACGGGGATATCACACACCGGACTGGGGTAGGATGGATGAAGTGGAGGTTATCATCTGGAGTCCTATGTGACAAGAGAGTGTCACCGATACTCAAATGTAAGTTCTATAAAGCGGTGGTTTGACCGGCCATGATGTATGGGGCTGAGTGTTGGCCTGTTAAGAACTCACATATCCAGAAGATGAAAGTAGCAGAAATGAGGATGTTGAGGTGGATGTGTGGGCACACTAGAATGGATAATATTAGGAATGATGATATTCGGGAGAAGGTGTACGTGGCTCCCATTGATGACAAGATGCGGGAAGCGAGGCTCAGATGGTTCGGGCATGTTCAGAGGAGAAGCCCAGATGCTCCGGTACGGAGGTGTGAGCGGCTGGTTGTGGAGGGCACGAGAAGAGCTAGAGGGCGGCCTAAGAAGTATTAGGAAGAGGTGATCAAGCAGGATATGTCGAGACTTCAGATTTCTGAGGACATGGCACTTGATAGGAAGATGTGGAGGTCAAGTATTAGGGTTGTAGGTTAGGAGGTAGTTGAGTCTTGCCTTACTTCGTACCATTGTGGGACTAGTCTGGTAGGATTTTTGTCTAAGACAGCTAGTGGCAATGTTGTGTCTTACTATTTCGCTTTCTAGTGCTGGACCTATTTACTAGCTATCGCTTTTGCTTTGCATCTTTCTTTTGAATTTCATGTTGTTCCTATTTTTCCTATGGTTTCTGTGGTGATACTAATATTGTCTCATTTTGTCCTTTTGTCTTCTTGAGCCGAAAGTCTTTCGGAAACAACCTCTCTACTCTTTCGGGGTAGGGTTAAAGTCTGCATGCACAATACCCTCCCCAGACCCCATTAGTGAGATTTTTCTAGGTTGTTGTTTTTGCAGTAAATACATAGTTTCAGACTCTTTAGGATTCTTAGAAGGCTATCATGCCAAATGTACAAATAAGTTTTTGGTCCTTCACTATGTCCTCCTAGTTACTTCAAGCTACTTCCTTCTGTCCATAATAAGTGACTTTTCGGCATTTTTATTTTGGTTCAAAATAAATATTTTTTTTTTACATAATCAAGAATGAATAACTATTTTTCAAATATGCTCTTATTTACATATATCAATGTGTCAAATTAATGAAATACTTATTTTTTTCTAGATGTTAAGATTTTTTTAAGGGATATGCAAAGGCTAAAAAGTCACTTAATGTGAATTGGCGGAAGTATTAGGCCATTATACTATTCTCTAATGTAGACTTGGTTTTCAAGTATGTGCAAAATGATTGGCGTCAAAATTATCAAAAGTTTGAGAGTTAGTAGAAGTATAGGAGAAGTCTCTAGGAAAGAGCAAAGCTTATTAGATTCCATTGGGAATTAAAGCTATGACAAAAAAGCCTAACTTTAAGCTACAAAAGCTAACCACTTTTCCTATAAAAGGTAAAGCTAAATTGATTACTCCCAGGAAATTGATCAAGCCATTCAATTCTTCTAATTAATCCTCATTAGGTCTTAACCATATCTTCCAAAAATTTGACTTAATTTATTCTTTGTGACGTGTCTAAATAAAGCTTAGGTAATTTTATATAGCAAAAATCATGTATTCTATACGTAAAAATTAATTTAATACTTGTAAGGGAAACCTAGAGCCTTGCAACATTGTCATTTGAGGAGTTAAATTTGTAACAATAAGCAAACAAGAATAGTGTACAACCTTCAATCAAGTGCATTAATGATTTAATTATCGGTTCAAAATGTGACAATCATAGGCAGATCTAGAATTTCTATATGGGTGCACTATTAAAAAAAGGAGGAAAAAATATATTTAGTGAGAATTGATCCTCGTACCTTTTGATAAATAACCCAACCTTCAATCAAATGCATCATTCAATCTTCTTGGAACATGTGTGCCAACAATTAATATTATACCAATTTTAGAATAAAATATTTAATTTTACAAAGAGATCATGAGTTTAGGTACCCAGAAATTACACCTATAAATCCGCTTATGAAAACAACCTCTAACAGAAATACACGTAAAATTGGATAAAATGAATCTAATATCATCCGCCCATTCGACGAACTCCGAGCGTGTTCGTGGCGGAAGCAGAATCAACTGGATTGCCTTATTTATTTATGAGAATAAGAAGAAAAATAAAAAAAAGAGAGAAAAATAATTAAAATAGGCAGAGAACATAACCGTTGGATTAGACAAATTATACCAAATACAACGTGATGCCAAATAGTGTTTGGCAATTTGAATTTCCTCACAAAAACATGCAAGTGCCCAAAATCTTTCTTTTCTCGTATGTTCCAACGGTAATATAAGTGTCCAGTCACCAATAATTAAATAATAATTATTAAATATAAACAATTTAAAAATAATTAAATATTTTTGTACATTTAGTGAGTACTTCACTATATTACAAGGCAAAAATTATTGAATTTCCGTAAATCCATAATCATCGCACAAGATCCGCCCTGGTTATATTGAACTTTCGATAATTTATAGTGTACAACAAAACGCCAATTTCCGCAAATGTTTGTTCAAAGGTAATTAAAATATCTAAAATCCTGTTAGAAAATAATCTACATTAAATAGAAGTATATATAGAAGTACAATTAATCCAAGCCACCCACCTAATCGGGTAAATTAAAAATAGTCGGTGGAGGTATAATATATGCATAATATATGTATTTATATGTGTAATTATATATGTATAATGAATGTATATGGTTAGAAAAGGTAAACAATGAATATGACGGACTATTGTGTT